CCACACTCAGGAATCGAACCCACAACATTTGGTCTCGCACGTGAACTCTTGATCTCTAGACTGATGGATTTCTTATCAAAACGACAACAGTCAAGAAAATTTTTAAACACAAGGATCATAATCGATTCACCGATTGAAAGGCAAACGATGGAAGTGAAATTCAATGTATTACTTAGTCTTTTCACCATACTTCCTCATAATTGTTGCTTTAAGTATCAAGATAAATTAATCAATCTTGTTACAATTCTATTATCAACAACAACTACACCCACAGATAGGATGTTAGAATATGGTTTAGTTTTCACGGAAATTTAATTAAACGAAAAAAAAATCATATTTTATTAATTATACTTCGATCAAAGTGAAAGTTTATTCTCTAATCTACACGAAATTCTGATTAAAGGTGGAGCGGTAGGCAGTAAAAAAAGAGTGAGGGCATTGGTTCATCCCAAGTAAAAAAAATTTTTTCATTTCAGTATTTTTAAATTGTTTTTCTGAGCTTTCATATTCTCATATATGATACTTTAATTCAGTTTTATATTTATTCTGTCGATAGGCACGAAGATTCTAGATTCATTACTGGAAGCGAATACTAGAACTTTCTATTTCTTCTTCATTTCCTTTAATTATTCTAATGCATGTTTGAAAAAAGATTTACTTTTACAATACACAATGAATGATCAGATAAAACTTAAGAATGATCGGAAAAATTTTTTTCTAAATAAACTCTTATTATCTAAAAGATGATTTATAAGAATACTTTAAAATACAAGATAGTGTGCCTAGATACTTAACAGTTAGGTGACAAAGTGTTATTTTTTTACTTGCTCACATTAATATTCTTAAAATAAACGATAATCTGATTGGATATTACAGTATTCTAACAGATTAGAATGTTTTTGATGGAGTTTTGTTCTCTGAGTTGGATGGTTTGGTCGTGGAGCTTCCATCGTTCTTCTGAACGACATCATCGGCACAAACTTCAAGACAGAACTCCATCAAAATCATCAACCTAAGCTACAAATCTTCTCCACCATCTCAAGATTAGAATGTATTATCAATTTTTGTGTATTTTCTTAAACTGCATCATGTAGTTCATAAAACTAGAACTTTCTAGAAATAATTTTTCTAATTTAGAAATTGTAATACTTAATCAAATATAATAAACAATACTTATATAAATATTTGACAAATAATCAATCCCATATTTGTCTATTTCTTAGTACTAATTATATTCCATGAACTACATTTTCAATGTGGTCACTATGTTAAAGATTAAGATCATGATGACTGTAACCAATTGGTTGATAGTTTGATTCACAGAATACAACCATTGCTCAGAAACTAATATGATACTATTATATTGTCGATTAAACTAAATATTTAAGTTACAAATAAACTAAACTGAGGCCTGATTAACTGGATAGCAGTAATGTAAAAGTGATTCCCAACACATTATGTTAATGAGTACTAACCAGAAAGTAATCACTGTCCGAGACTATCTGATTACATTCTACAATAATCTAATCGGTAATTTCGTCTAATTAATAACTAAAATTGTCTTATTTTAATTAAATATTGAGTTTTCGTTTGATTTATCAACTTTTACATTTGCGTTAATAACCGTTTGAATAAATCAGCTTGAATCAGTTAGGTTTCATAAAATCCTTACTTCATTATGATAGATAATTTCTGTTAACATAATAGAGTTATTTCTGTAATATTATATATGACAATATCCTTTAATATTTAAACAAGTCTAGCTTCAATTGACTCATGATTTCAACTATTGAAATTACTAAAATCTCCACAAAGCCCCTTATGATAATAATCATCTGCTCACTAGTGACTGACTTCAAGAAAAACTCCTGGAGTCCTAGTGAGAAGCCGTTACGAGTGGAGTTCAACCAGGTCGGTTGTGAGATATCAACTCATTGGAGACAATGATGTACGGTGGCGCAAATTCGTGGATTGGTCGAAGTTAGACATTAACACCGTTGGATGCCGGCTTAGTGATCTAGTGGTTAAGTGCTCGCGCGCGAAACCAGTAGGTTCTGGGTTCGAATTCTGTATAAATTGTACCGTTCTAACTTATATTTCACAAGTCCCTGAATTACTTTGTCTAAATGAAAAAATCAATTTAACAAGGTTGTTTAATGATAAATGAATTAACTGTCAAGAGTAAATGTATCAACCATAGCAAATATAATGATTCTAAAGATTTACATTCAAACATTACAGTAATCCAATCGCTTAAATATTATAAATACCGAAATATAAAAGATTAGATTTGAGAAATTAATGTAAAATCAATGTTTATATGATATAAAACATGGTTTCATACAAATACATCAGTTATATATGACTATTTTCCATACAATTTTTTTCTTTACAAACGACTACCTAGAAATAATACATAATGTCCTACTTATAAATATAAAATATGTAAAATTCATGTAGTCCGGGGTAGTATTTTCTAGGTATGGTCTGATGATTCACACTTTTTTTTCTAAAAAAATAATAATAAATTAAGTTTTCAAAATAAATTTACTAAGTACTAAGACAAACTATCGGCAATTATTTAGTTATGGAATATGATACTGTCACCGTTTGTTCTTCAATGTGTTGATATAAACAAAGTAAATACTTGTATGTTTACATATGAATAATAAAAAATAAATTTGTAAACGTTCTGGCGGTCTTTTTCGTAATGAATATCTTCGTTACTAACGCATATTTACTGAAATATATATTTTGCTATAACTTTGATAACTTTAAATAAAGAGTAGTTCCTAAAGCAAAAGTATAATTAGATGTTTTGGATTTTAATATGGGGCATTTCTACTTGTGAAAAGTACGAAAACCTGTTACAGTAAATGACAACGATATTTTCTATTTCTAGAACACGTGTTTTAACTGTTCACTCTCGTGGATCAGATTTATATATGATGCCGGTTAATAAAAATATGGATTATCAGAAGCTAAGCATTTAGTGAAGGATACACTTGAATAAATCTATGTTGTCATTTGCGGAAGTTATGGGGTATCATAAAGGTAGTACATAAAGAAGGCATCCAAGCGTGCCCTGACATATAAATAGGCACTCATATAGTCAGTTGAGACGTCCATGTTAAGGTAATACAAAATATTTTCCCATCGATGTCTTTGGTGATTAATATCATTAAAAATCTATTTATAAGCGATTTTATTCCGTTGGTGATCGATTGATTAAAAAATATGAAAGTACGATTGTTTAAACAGTACGATGTCACAGTCATTTGAGGTTAGTGAAGTCTCACTTGATAAAGCCGATTGACTTATCTGGATTAAAATCCGCTTTCCGAGGTTCACAAATCCACCTCGTAGACGTGATTTCGTGGGGAAATCGTTGGAATCCCTGCTTATTGGTGTGCAGGCGTCGAACCAGGGGCAAGTATAATCTACATGGATACTGGAAACATAGTTTTTCACCTATGCATCACTTTATATACACATAGGCATACTCACCCACCTGGGATGGTAAATAGTCACTGTTTCCTTCAAATGTACTTACTACCGCTGACTATCTCTTACGCATTGCATGCATATCACTGGTAAAGACTTTCGTTCATGCAATTCATGGCATGAACATATGTATAAGCACTCTGACAGGGAGTATTGATAGTCACCTCTAGCCCGTATTTCCTACCACATCTTTGGCCTGAAAGGTTAGGCCATTGATTGTTTTAGACATAAGGTAGACATTTTTTCAGCTTATGTTTCGTATGCTAACCCACGCGCATACCCTTTACATATCCATACACATATAAACCATACTATTAACCTTCAAGTGACAAAATGAGATTAACTATAAATAATCAGTAGCTATCAGTTGAATACTACAATCAATTTTTTCAACATTTTAAATGCCTTACAGCCAAGGCAGGATGGTTGATGTATTACAAAGAGATTCTAAATTAATCATGATCAGTGACTAATTTAGCTAATATAAATTTTCATTATGGAAAAAGTGCCACTCATTTTTAATATTCTAATTGAAAGAAATAACTATGAGTACTCTATAGATTCCACAGATGTAGTGTTTTGTTTCGTAATTTCACTTTAGGTCTTGCTTACGTTACTTTTTTCATATCAAATTCTGTCTCAGCATTAAATAGAGTTTAGTGGAGAATTCCAATGCTATTTTTATACTCACCTTTCCATCTCAGTTATATAATCCCACTTACTAGATATTTATGACTTGAATAAATATTTCATAATACATACTCAAGCAGATATATGGTGAAATCGTCCAAAAATCAAAGTATCTGTACAATGATTCTGGATTACTAATTCTATTTAAACAAAGGAGAATTCACTTATAGAAACAAAACAATGAATTAGTTAGGATCATTTAATCTATGTAATGCAATTCGCTCAAATATGCTTACTAATCACAAGATTGTTATCTTCATACTGTTCATATCTACTGAATAATCGCTAAATAACTGCTTTACTATAGAACTTAAGTTTAAAACATCAGTTTGTAGAACCAACTAGAGTATTTCAGAAGTTAAAAAATTTGTTTTAACGTATTAGATTCACAACCGAAAGATTCACTAATGACTATTGTTATACTGACAAAAATAGTAGTCATTTTATTGGGAATATTTCATCACTACTAAATATCTTAACTTTCATTAGTAATGAAGACAACTATTCAAAATTATCAATAATTACTAATATGTTAATAGTTGAATTCATGAGTTAATCTAAGCTAAACCACTATTAAAAATATGGAAGCATCGGACTGCCGTTTCGTCCTAGCAGTGCTCGTCCACAATCCCGCATACAGGACTCGAACCCAGGAGCTTCGGTCTCCTGTGCAAACGCCCAACCTCCAGACACTAAGCCGGCATCCAAAGGTGTTAATGCATAACTTCAATTGAATTATGATCATGCGCAATCTCCACAAACCACCATTCTGATAATAATTACTGATATGACTGAACAATAAAATTCATCAGTTCAATTTTTCATTAATTATTTTCTTGTAAGAAGGAAATCCTGATCAATACCATTAATAAATAACGGCCAAGAAAAGTGAATAAAACAAAAAAATTAAAGCCAATTATTGTTTATCTAAATTAAGTCATTCATATACGTACTCAAATGTTGTTATTATTTTGGATATATATATATGTATATATAGATGGATAGATATTTGAAAAATTGAAAATGTAGCCAGTGCTAAATGTATAAACACATAAGTCTGCACATACACAAACACTCGTATGTGAACAAACTTTCACTATTCTTCATAAGTAAACCTAACAAACGCAAAATAGTTTATTCTAACCACACACAAAAAAAGCTCGCTAACTTGTTTCATAAAAGATACTTTAAATAACCAAATCAATGAAACAAGTAAACAAAATGATCATAACAAAAACTGAACAATCAAACAAGGATAATTTTAAAAGAAGAAGAAAGTGATTTTCTAATATTTCCTTGTTTTTTGTGTCCTCCTTTTTAAATAATGAAAAGTGATCTTAAATTGAATTTTCTAGTTATTTATGACATTGACTATATTCATCAATGTACAGGTTAGTTTTCTTCTCAATTTTACGTATATTCAATAAGTAATTGAATAGAACAATGTGTGAATAAAATGATGAAATAATAGTTCGGAAATTGATTTATCTTTCACCTTCAACAAAAAGAAGTATAGCAAAAAAGAAAACACTAAACATTCATAAATGCAAAAGTGTTCATTAAATGAATACTCTAAATGTATTCAAAGTACATATATTTAATATATTGTTAATCTAAATAAACGTTTAGAAATGAAATATTCCTGTATAGGATAATACATGTATATATATCAATATAAATCATTTACTCATGTACATAATTATAAAGAGATATATAAAGAGGAAACAAATTGTAAGAACACCATTTAACTCAATAAATATTTTATAAACACGAACTGTACAATCGTATGAAGTTCATTTAGTATTAATAATATCTAGCGTTAGTATTATATATGCATATAGAAAGAGAATATCGCATAGATTCAAAGAACCGAAAAAAAAACCCTAAAAATTTATCCAAATATCCTGCTTATCCATCAAAATCATCACTAATACAATTTTTTTAAGAAAAAAAAACCGAATCATGATAAACATTATCAAGTGGTTGAAGAAGAACGAAAGAACAGAATTTTTTCTTATAGGGTTTAAACCTACTACTGAATAGGATTCCTTTGTTTGTTTGTTTATTTTTTGCAACAATTTAAAAGTGTTCAATATTTAAGTATGAAAATGATAATCAATATTGTGTACAAAAAAATGACTGCCTTTTATTTCGGATGTAATGAAAAGCACATTTGTTTTGCAAAACAAACAAAATACACTTTTAAATAAAAGATTATCACTGGAAAACAGCTGAAGTCCTAATAATCAATTGGGTTTCTTTTTAAAAAAAACACACATCTAAAAGTGTTCCATTTACAACATACGTTCTGATGTAAGTGTAGTAAATATATGATCAATCTTCGGTGGTGATAATATTCCATTAGGAGTTGTAGCATCATTTGAATTATGCAAAGATCTATTATTGATTGTCATAGAATTACTTTCATTTGCATATGAATTTTGATGATAGTTAACTCCAGAATGTAAAGAATCTGAGAACTGGGGACGTGAAACTAATGGTCTTGTTCCACTGCCACCATTACTATTATTATAATTAGGTGTAATATATTTGCGCATTCTAGATGCAGTTCCTGTATTACTAACTTCTGTTGAATAACCATTGACATATTCATCATCCAGACTACCAATCATTTCACCATTTTGTAAATTAAACTTGTTAAGTGATAAAGTAGTATTATGCCATTCTGCCTGACTGGATGGATATAAAGAAGATGTAGTTGTAATACTGTCATTGATACAAGAAGAATTAATAAATGACTGTGACGGTGGTACTACAATTGATGGAGATGGTTGATTGAATAATTGTCGTCCAAAACTATTTGGACTAGTTATCAAACGATTTTGATGAAAAGTCTGTGATTGCTGACGACATGAATTTCCCAAATAACCAGAATCAGAATTTACAATTACATCGTTACTATTATTGTTATTATTGGTATTGTTATTAAAATCATAAAATCCTGATGGTGGTGTGATATTTACAAAATCCCCTTCAGAATCACGATTTAAATGATGCATTGCTATGTTGTGAGAACCTGAATATATATTTAAAAAAGGTTATGACATAATATGAAAGTATACTTAATAGTAAATAAACAGGAATGATTTAACGATGAAATTATTACTCTATAAAACCACTGAGTTACAAGTTTGAACCCTGCTCTGTCTGTGTTTGTTTGAATAGAGAGACTGGATCATCAGCTCCTGGCTGAAACTCATGACTCAATGATAGATAGACAAACGTATGTTCATGGTTATCGAGTCACATTGTCGATAATATATACTTATAATATTGTCGAAAATCTCAGCTGTATGACGACCACATGTTTTACTTGTTAAACAAATTAGACGAGAATAAATACCAGAGAATTTATGAGCTTATTTGTACGTTGTATTTATGTCACTATGGATTATTTTGCTTCTGATGGGGCTATTTTCATTGAAACAATCAAAAAACTAACTTTCATAATCATTGTAATCATAGAATTATCTGACTTCATAATTTTTAGATATTACAAAACGAAATTAAAGTTTCACAAATCACTAGGAATCATTTAATACTTCTTTTATTCGTCTTTTAAAGTAAGGGGTTGATAGAATGATACTGATAAGTGCATATATATGTTTAAGAGTTTTCATTTTTCGGCCAATGAAGATAATGTAAGTAGACTGTTTTCTGTAATCTCGTGAAGTTAAAGTGGAACGCTAATAGTAGTAAGAAATTTAATTACATTTAATCGAACGTTTCAGCAGTTGAGATCATGAGTCCATTGAAGCAAGACCACCATGAAAAACCTGAAAGAACTGGATGGACGTTTCGTCCCATTGTTGAACTCCTCAGCAGTGCGCATCCACGACTCCGCCTCGCGAGATTCGAACCCAGGTCCTATCAGTTTCGCGCCAGGTGCCTAACCAACTAGACCACTGAGCTGGCCGGCATCCAACAATGTTAATGTCTGACTTCAACCAATCCACGAAACTGAGTGACACATTCACCATTGTCTTCAGTGAGTTACTATCTCACAACTGACCCAGTTGACGTCCACTGGTCACTGCTTGTCACTAGAACTCCAGGATATACCTCTTGAAGCCTGTCATTAGTGAGCATATGTTGATTGGTATCAGATGGGGTTTTTGTGGAGATTGTAGTAACTTCAATAGTTGAGATCATGAGTCAATTGGAGTTAAACCACGATGGAAAACCTGGAAGCACTGAACGGCCGTTTTGTCCTATTGTGAAACAATGGTGGATGTGTCGCTCAATTTCGTGGATAAGTTGAAGTTAGACATTAGCACCGTTGGATGCCGGCCAGCTCAGTGGTCTAGTTGGTTAAGCACCTGGCGCGAGACCAATATGTCCTGGGTTCGAATCTCGCGAGGCGGAGTCGTGGATGTGCACTGCTGAGGAGTTCCACAATGGGACGAAACGGCTATCGAGTGCTTCCAGGTTTCCTATGGTGGTCTAGCTTCAACTGACTCATCTCAACTGTTGAAATTACTACAGTCTCCACAAAAAGCCCTTCTGATATTAATCGAATGTTGTTTAATGTATTTTAATTTGCATTTTTGAATAGTATATGATAAAGATTAGGGTCAAGTTAATTTGAGATAATTCAAAATGTCATGATATATGTGTAAATAATCAGTAAATTATTACTGAGGCAGAAGAATCTAAACTGATCCAACAACATCAAACATCAAGGTTTCCATAAATTAATAAATCCGTTTCCATAGTTTTGAACTCTCAAATGAAAAATATAACTAAGAATAATGAGTTCATAATAATAATACTATTCATTAATTCTCCTTATTCATTTAAAATAAGTACTATTCGTGCAAGAAATAAATGATAAAGTTTCTTTCTTATTATAAAAGACTGTTCAGAGAAAAACAATTCCATTGATCACTTTTTTTAAGTTTTAGCAGTTCTTTACTTTAATGTCTCTAGTTATTCAACTGGACGTTCTTTAGCATGAAGATTTTAATGTTCATTGGCTTAGGATGTAACAGCGGTTTTATTGTTAACATAACAATGTCTTACAATATTCCAATGCTTATAAATCAGGTTTTTCTACGGTTTGTAATGAAGTTTAATTACAGATATTGCATAAACACCATTGACCAGTGGTTTGACTCTGTATCTAGTTATGTAATTAAATAAGCCCACTCTTGCAACCAGTAGCGTGGGAAATATTAAGACTAAAATTAGTGGATTTATATTCAGTTTCAAAAGGAACTCCCTTTATATAGTACCAGCCTTTATTCATGAAAAATAGTTGACAACTAGATTTTAAAGACATCGTGGTTACATTTATCAACCTAAATAAGCCAGAAAGCTTCCCCAATTAATTGCAATTTAATCAGGTTATCTCAGTTATGAGATTGTTTTTGTTACTAAATGAATTCAGTGAACAACACACAAAAACCAAAGAGTACTGAAGAAGTGTTTCATTACAGTTTACAGCTACTGATAAATTTCCACTCACAACCCTACATAGATTGAAATCAATATCTCTCAGGTCACGAAGTGGGTGCATTACCTTGGTACCACCGAGTTATAATTTATTGGTCTACACTTCTAACTTCTTCAGATTAGTGATATGGAAAAGCAATAAACTATTCTTGATCTGAGGTCAATCCACAGCGAAAAATAACATGATACCTGTGATGTACGGTCAGTTAATGAAAGTCGGAAAAGTGAAATCTATAACTACAAACCGGTAGTTAGTGTACTGATAACATGTTTATCAAAAACGTCCACAGTTACATGGTTCAATTTGTTAAGATATCAATAGTTTTCGTTGTTTAGAAGCCATAAACTTAAAAGAGATGAATGTTTAATACTATCTGGGTTTTAATAGTTTCCATTAATCAATGACTTACTAACATAGTTTATACTGATGACTAGTTCTAATCATAAATGTCGGGGTCTTTTGTTTCAAACTATTCTAATTTCATTCTTGGAAATGAACTTTTCAACTTCATTTTTTCCAGTAAGCTTTTTTTCAATTTTAAAATATTGACAGTTTTTTCAAAACGTATATATATATACATTAAGTTAGGATATTAGGTTTCCGGAAGCTATGAGGAAGAAATTTTGGATCTAGGCTTCATTCTGCCTGACACTAATCAGTAAGGCATATTTACAGTTTCGTGGAAACTAATGATTCTCGGATGATTCGAATTTGTGTCACCCAGCAGTCGAGTCAGATGTATCACCATTAAGTCATTCGGATAATAGTTGAATTCCTGTGAGACTGAGATATTCACAGTTGATTGGTCGATAAAAAATAACTAATGTCATATTTGTTTAATATATAATGTACTAGTTAAATATGACACTTTACATCCCTAATCGATGTAGCTGAAGTCAACTTTGAAGTTCTAGTTTAGAATGGAGTGCTGGTACTCAAAGCAATAAATCGCAACGAGTGTATTCATGTAACAAATATTCATTCCACCCGCCTTATTAAAAAAACACAATTGCATATGTATATATTCATGGTACCCCTTATTCGATTTTCTTCAAGATTCTTGATAAACAACATCACTAGCATTTAGGTGGTTTCATATATTGATAAACAAAACTGAATACAACTCAGTGGCAAAACATATATATTCGTGGATTGGCTGAAGCTAGACATTAATACCATTGGATGCCGGGCGGCTCAGTGGTCTAGATGTTAGGCGTTCGCGCGCAAGATCGAAGGTCCTGGGTACGCACCGGTGAGGAATTCCATAATAGGATGAAACGCCGTCCAGTGCTTCCAGGTTTTCCATGGTGGTCTAGCTTCAATTGACTCATTAATTCAACTATTAAAATATATATTTGTACAAACGTGCAGTCCGTCGACAGCTTTTAATTCTAATCGTCATCTTTTTATGTAACAAATATGTTTGATAGTTAAAGCTATATTATGTAATCTAATTATTAATGGGAAGAAAATTTTTTTATGACTAAAAACCTTATCAGTTTCACTATCTATGGATAAATGAACACGAGACTATACTTGAACGCTTAAACCGGGAATAATAAATAAATCATTATTGCTTATCGCTACAGGTTAACAACGTAACTAATATGATCTTTGTCTTAGATGATATATATAGTGGACTAATCATAAGCTAATAGGCATATGTACATACGATCACACGAACACATGTGTACAATAATCTACATAAGCCACAACAACAAAATATCTCCATTTTCAAATGGACGACAGAATTAAATTGATTCATGCAACTTTTATCCAGAAAGTATAGTGTCTACAATGGGAATTTATAAGTCCCTATGTTAAATATGTTTAATTTTTTTATATTTATGGATATGGGAAAATAATTAGATGTGAAAAAGTCTATATTATAAGCATATATCTATTTACTCCCTCTAAATGTTATATGTTCCCTCAGTTATGATGTGTGTCAATACTTAGTAAGTGAAGTAGTTTAGTGAGTTAATTACGAAAGTTACAAATGCTCTAACAAAAGAGTTTGGTAACAGCTTTGTATTTACATTCGGTAACTGAAAACTTCTGGGTTAATATAATATTACTGAGTGCCCACAAACGTTTCATTTGATGTCGATAAATTTACAATAATTCACAACTAAAACACAGTCTAAGAAGCCTCAAAAAGGATAACTTTTGCAATAGATAAAAGTGGAGTTGTAAGTGTGGCAGAAAACAACTGTGAAACATGGAGCATGAGTATTATTTGGACCAATCCAAAGCTATAGTCTATCTAGAATGAATGTATACACTTAAAGTAGGTCCTCTTCAAGTTATACTAATCTTTAGACAGAATATATAAAACCGCACAACATAACAAGTGCAAATATGATTATATATATATCAGATAAATTTAAAAGTACCTGAACTAAAACCATTGAAATTCGTACAATGATCCGATTGTAAACTGGATAAAATTTTATTTGCTTGATTGCCTAAATAATTCATATCACATCTGCTTTCAACATCATCCATATTTACTGGACTATTGGAATTAACGAAACCATTTTGAATATTGTTTTGATTATTATTATTATTAGCGTTAGTAACATTATTATTGTTACTGTTATTGAAATATGTTCCATCGTTAGCTTTTCGATTATTCACATGTGTCGGTGAATGTGAATAGCCTGGACTGATACCACTGCCTCTACCACTATCTGAATAATTATATCCATTTGGACAAGTTTGAAGATAGACAGTTGTTGTTGATTCAGTTCCATGTTGACCTGCATTAGTATTACTTACAACCATAGCAGGTATAATATTTGAAATTGTTGCATCGGAAAAACTAACCACCGGTCCAGGACGATAAACAAAATTACCTTGTTCTATTCCTGTAGTATTATTATTAGCACCTACGGTACCAGTAACACCTGAAACACTAGAACCTTCACTTGTACTTCGTCTTAAAGCGTCCTGTGTTGAACGTTTTGGTCGAAGACGAGGATTTCGAAATTTTCCATTTGTTTGATTCCAAGTTCCACTACTTCCATCCACTGTGTTAGTTAGTTGTAAACCTCCAGACATCTCAAGCATGCAGTTAGGTGTATTACATCCAGCACTTAATAAGGTCGCTTTATCAACCCCAGAACTTAAAGCCACATAAAGTGGGGAACCAATCTTGTTGCCATTTGAACCCCATCCACCTGAATTCAATGTCCCACCTGTATATAATGTATTCCCATACCCACTTCCACTTTTGACAGAACCATTTCCATGTGGTGACATTGTATTTATAAATGGCTGGTGCGTCTGTAGCCCTAAAGGGCCACATACTGCTGCCTCTGCGGCCATTTGACGAACGACCTCCGGTGGACAACGACATCCAAAACGACATGTGCCTTGGCAACGCCTTCGACTATACAGCCTACGGATGCGACATATATACAACCATGTTATAATAAGTACGATTATGAGTACCAGACATAGACAAGCCAAAGAAACGGTTGCAAGAAACCAATCTTTCGGTTCAGTTCCAGATAAAAGTGCATCCCAAAATGCAGAACCACTACGTCCATCATTTCTATTGCCAAATAAATTGTTAGCAGCACGACTCTGTGAATTAGATGATGATAAGATAGATAGATTATCTGAATTGTTTAAAATTGTTGATATTGTTGTTATTGTCGTCAATGGTGTGGTTGTTGTAATAGGTTCTGTGGTAGTTGTCATGATTGGTGCTGGACATTTAATTGATTGAACGCACAGTACATATTTTGTTTCAAATCCAGCTTCAATCATTAAACCAGGTTCATTTTCTCTAGAGGCTAAATACAAAATTGTAGTTCTAAAAGTGAATCTTGAAAATTTATCTGCTAAAGGGAATTCAATTGTTCCATTTAACCGTCTGCTTTTCACTAACTGTATAATAAATAAATAAATAAAAAACAGTAAAATATAGTTTAAATTAATATAGTCAACAAATATTATAAAAAGTGCATATCACTTACTTGATTTGACCACTTTTTACAGTAAACTGATAATAGAGGAATAGTATATAATAAAGAGGAGTAATGGTGAATTATAGCATTTTGTTTCGGCACTATACAAATCCTATGAACTAAACACTTATTTACCAATAGAATTTAAGATCATCATACTCTAGAGAAAATATGTTTGTTTGAAAGTCAATAGATCTGTTTATGAATCCGATCAAATGAATGTAACCAATAATGACAATTATTATCATTTATTTAATAATTCTTCATGTATGTTTTATAAAAATATACTAGATAGTCTTAAATATCGTTAAGTGTTTGAATTCAAATAATAATAAGTGTATATTGTGATTAAAGAAGACTATGATCAAGTCAAAATGTAACATAATTAGCATAAATCTTAGTTGTAATTTAGGTAGGATTAATCAAAATGGTTTATGCTGCAGAGATATCAGTTCCAGTTCTAGCCCTGTATGCCCAAGCAACATGTGGAATCTCTTATTCTTTCATGGTCTTAACATACCCTTCAAGTCTATTTTTTGTAAATACTAGTTGTTTTTGTCTCGATTATTTATCAAGTTTAATTATTGACTCCTTGGATTTCTCCAAAGATAAATGAGATTATTTTTTTTAAATATCCTTTATTTTTGTCTTTCATTTCCTCCATCCACCTGAAAGTTTACAGCGGTTTAGTGTATTTTTTGTATATAGACCATATATATATTTGAAATTTAGCATGTGACGTAATGTTTATGTTTATATGATGCGGTAAGATATGACTACTAATGAAGAAAGATAAACAGTAGGACTGGAGGAGATATATTAATTCAGATTAAATGTTATATACAGCATCAAATAAACATTTTTGGTTTTTTGTAGTTTGTGTTTACATAAATAACTCTCTAAACATGACAAATATATAAAAAGGGAATGATGAGGTTAGGATATTTTAAAGTTTATTTCATTAAATAATTTTATATATACTATCTTCAGTATGGGTTTGTGGAGATGGTTGAATTTCATTGGGATTATGAATCGATCAATGCTAGATCACCATTGAGAACCTGGAAGCACTGGACAGCCGTGGTGAAAGTTATCATGGGCCCATTAGTGACTAGCTTCTATAGGTAGTTCACAGAGTTTCAGTGAGAAGCCGTGGCTAGTGAAGTTCAGCCGTGTCAAGCGTGAGGCAGTTACCCATCAAGGACAATGCAAGATAGTCGTGTAATATCGTGGATTGATTGAAGTTAGACGTTAACACTGTTGAATCACGGCTCAATGATCTAGAGGTTAGTCGTTCGCGCGAGACTGAAGCTCTTGGGTCCGATTCCAGCGTGAGGGATCTCGGGCGAGCACCGTTGAGGGGTTTAATATTGATCGTTTCATGATTTCGCTTAAATATATGCTATCATTAAATTACTACATGGATGTACTTCAATATTAAAATGCTCCAACATTTCTATTGAAACCCATACTCGGTAGTTATTGTATCAAATTATCAAAGTTTCAGTGAATAGAAAACAAGTATGTAGAGTAATAGATAGTTCAAAAATGTGTCTTAAGTAAAATTACCCTGATGTGCTTTCTGACTGCAAGATTATCTAAACAGTTAAAGTTAATAAACGATGGATAGTGCCTAAATGTGGAATCGAGAACGCACGTTTCCTCCTACTTGGGACTTGCATCTCAGAGTTGATGTTCACTCTGGGACTCGAACCCAATACTGTTCGCTTCAAACGCCACTGCATTGTCTAGTTAGCTACTGAGTGTTGATAGCCACTGGTATATATATATATATATATATATATATATATATATATATATATATATATATATATACTGTTCTTGTAATAATGAGTTTGTCCCACCCATTTCTTTTCGTTTTACTATGGTTCACGTAAAAACCGTAAATTAAAATATATGAGTGGGATTTATTTTATGTCCCATTAATTATCATACTGAAATGTTATTTCTCACATGCAATTCCATAACCCTTATAGGTATAAATAATATAAAACAATGAGAATTTAAACGCAGTCGATTCTGCTGAAAAAGGTATCAGCAAATCAAGAGCGATGATGTTTGCAGATTACATATGTTGATTGTATTTCAATGCTTTCCCATAGACGTATACACTAAATTCAAATTCCTTTACAACTATGTTTTCCATACAATCTGTTACTCACTAATGAACAGTTAATACTGCAATTGCTAAATACATTAATATTTGATGAAATTTCGTTCTTGTCAGACTTATTAAATTGTGTATAGCCAATGAAAAAGCAAAGAAACAATGAATTTGTTTTAATCTGCGACCATTGCTGTTTTCGTAAGTTACTAGTATTTGATCACAGATATCATAGAAACATTGCTTGCATCTACTGGGATCACCGGGTAAGTAATAGTGAGGTTAGACGCAAGGTATTAGGGAGTGATGGCAAATCAGTTGATGAGGTTGTAAATCTTCATCGACTGAGATGGTTGAGCCACGTATGACGCATCCCAAACCACCGACTACCACGACGCGCAATGCTGACTAGTGTTGAAGACGGATGGAAGAATGTTAGGGGCGGCCAAACCAAAACATGACATCAATCCATAAAGTCATTAATTTTCGGTCTGAGTCATTTTGGTAGATGCAGACCACTTGGTTGGTATCCGTGTGACTATCTTAACCAATGGTTGGAGACTCTGAGTGAAATGGCTGAGAATCGATCACAATGGTGTAGGTGTATACACTCTTTGTCTTCCCTTAAATCGTGAGATTAAAATTACTCTATACCTTTCTTTCTAATTCTTTGTTCCTTAACTATATCCTTATACACAATCTTTTATATATTATTACCATTGAAGTAACTACTTCTATTAATTTGGTGTTCATTTTGCTGTGATGATGTGGTATGGCAACATGAACCGATACATATATGTGCCTGGTCCCACGTTATAGCTGATTGACTAATTGATTTCTGTACTCCTATTGGTTGAATGTTGTGTTTTACTCAATGTGATGTTTTGTATTTTCTTGGTGCTGGTTAAGTTTTATCGAAGTGGACACAAGCTTAAGTTACTTGACATTTCATATACTATGTTTCGATGCTAAGCTTCTTGAGGATCGCCTCCAATCACCCAAGAATATTGTTCTCAGTTGGTTTGAATTAGAAATCATTTAAAAATTTGAAGTTTGGCTTATTTGTTCTATGAAATAAAAATACTAATGATTAAACAGTCTTTTCTGTCATTTGCAAATCTTTTCGGTTTCAGATTTGATTAAACAGGACAATATTCAAAGGCCATATGCTCATGAAACAAATTATTTAGCGAGAAAATTTAATAATACTCGTCGTTAGAATGATGTAATTAAAGGATGAGAGATAGGCTAAACAAGCAAAAACTAATAAATCTTAAAGTAGAAAAGTATCTGCCAGCAGTAATACAAACTAAATCGTCGTAGCATTAGGGTTTAAAATGTAAGGAGTACTTAAGACCTATTCGAATATAACTATTGAGACTTTCATGTAACCAAACGAGAGACAATAATGATTGGGAATCACAGTATATAATATTTCACCATCTGTCTAATATTTTATAATACAAAACAATTAATATGAGCATCTGTCAAATTTATCTAAATACTTTACGTGTTTAATGTAATAACTGAGTTGCATGATCAATTATCTAAGATTCTATATATAGATATTATCATTCATATTCATACAAGTTATTCTGCTAAATCCGTAAGAAAAGACAAATAATGAGTCGCAGAATATTTTTCTTAACTTAATATCTTATTAACACAGCAGTCTGTATATCTACATTAAAGAATGACACTCACTTACAATTGACTGTTCACTGAGCAGGGATATATGTCATGTACGTAAAGTCCATCTTACTGCTGATCGAATTCTATTGATCATGGTAATGTCTCTGAATGTGAAGCTGGACGACACGGAATCAGATCCTCCAGGTAACATCAGATACCTCAAGATTACAAGTACACTTTGTTGACGAGCACCAAGTAACACGAAACCTAAATCTAGAGTTTCCTGTCAACTACTTCTAACCACCACCTTACATCTCGAATGATACTCATAGATAAATCAGTAATCTATTCAAGTACCACAGTAATGTCAGTACAGACTTCAGATTTCAATGTTGTTCAATACTCTGAGCTAGATGGTCTAATTGTGGAGTTTCCATTTTTCTTCTGGACAACATTAACAGCTCTCACTTCAGTTAGAAGTTATCTTTTTAGTTATATCACTAGCCCTAAAACAGTCTACTCTAGATGGGCAAATATATTTTATTAAAGGAATACCAAGTGGAATGAATTTTTCTTATGGTTAGATGATAAGTTTTGAACAGTATTCACCTGTAGAAATATCCTGTAGACAAGCGCATTGATTTCTTATAGTTAGGTATATAATAAATATCAGACTGATAATTTCCAAAAATTATGTTTATTATATGATACTCAAAATACTAGAAATTTCAATGGTATAAGTTAGATGAAGATGTTTTATTTATAGTTTAGCTTTCAAGTTGATCTTCATTAGACCCATTTTTAACAATACAATCATATTTATGCACATATATAAAATACGGCGAACTAAAAAATGGGAAAAATAATACAAATGTATACTATTTAATATTCCCTAATGAGTTGGAATTCATTAATACCCAAAATAGTAACTAAGATTTAGAACATCAAGACTAGTTATGATGAAATTTTGTCAAAGATGTTTTACAATTGATGTATAATATTTATGAACTTTCAGTAACTAGTATATAAATTCAGGTCATAACTGTTAACCTCTAATTACCAGAAACTGTCATGACCTCCAAAATTGTAAACAATGAATGATTTAAATTCACTTGATATTGTTTTACTTGAATCTTCCCACTGATGTTTTAGGACTGAAAATG